TGAAAGTTGTAAGCAAGTTCACGGCTGATAAGTTAAAATGTATCCCAGAAAATATTGGAAAGTATAAGGCCATGGATATTGGTCAACTCCGATTTCTTGATAGCTTTCAACATATGGGAATGGGACTTGATAAATTAGTTGAATGGCTAGGTGGAAAGCTCAAAAAATTCCCTTTAACTGTCAAACATTTTACTAAAAAAGGTTATTCGATAGAAAAGATTGAACTTCTTTTCTGAAAAGGTGTATTTCTATATGATTGGACAAATTTGTGGGATAAATTTGACAGAACAAAGCTCCCACCAAGAAAGGATTTCTATTCAATTCTTAGCCAGCAAAATATAAGTAAAAGAGATTATGAATATGCACAAAAAATATGGCAGGAATTCGAGATGAAGAATTTTGGAGAATATCATAACTTATATCTTGAAACAGATGTACTTTTACTTGCAGATGTTTTTATGAACTACACTATTATGTGCTTGAAAGATGATGGCTTAGATTCTTCCCATTATGTCTCAGCACCTGGAATGTTTAATGATTCCTTATACAAAAGTAGTGGAGCTGAACTTAAGCTCATGACAAATATGGACGAATACTTGATGGTTGAGAATAGCATTCGAGAAGGAATGACAATGGCAAGTCACCGATATGCTAAAGCGAATAATCCTAAATGTTCTGACTATGATCCTAGCAAACCAAAGTCTTGGGTACTATATGAGAATTTTAATGCTTTATATTTAGATGCAATGATGCAATATATGCCCACAGAAATATTAGAAAAGGTAGGTCCAGAGAAAGTTCCAGATATTTGAAGTATTGCGCCTAATGCAGAAATAGGTTATATACTTGAAGTTGATCTAGAAGTTCCAGTGCATTTGCATGATTTCTTTGCAAACTATCCGTTAGCGTCTGAAAAGCAAATAGTTTCAGAAGACTGGCTTAGCTTGTATAATGAAAGATTAGTCTATAATAAAGAAGTCGGGAGTGAAAAATACATGTCCGGAGAGAAGTTAGTTTAGACTCTTTTTACTAAGAAGAATTATATAGTTCACTATTGAGCTCTCTAGACATATATGAAGTTCGGAATGAAGGTTACAAAAGTTCATAGCGCTCTCAAGTTTAGGCAATCTCTGTGGATGAAAGAATATATTGAGGAAAATATTTGCAAATGCAAAATAGCCAAGGTTAATGAAGATGAGTTTGGGGTTATGTATTATAAGCTAAAAAATAATGCTGTCTTTGGTAAACAGATGGAGAATATTCGTAAGCATATGAGAGTAGAGTTACTCCAAACAGAAGAAGATAAAAAAATTAGGCGCTTAGCAAGTTCACCATTATTTGTAGGTTTCAAGCAATTTGAAGGAGAAATTACAGCTGTTCACATGTTAAAAAGCACAGTGACTCTAAACAAACCAATCTATGTAGGGCAGGCAATTCTCAATATTAGCAAGGCTATAATGCTTAACTTTTGGTATGATTACATAAAGCCTCGCTATGGAGATAAAGCCTGTCTACTTTATACAGACACAGACTCACTTATCATGTGGATAGAAACTGAAGACATATATAAAGATCGAGCAGAGAGGCCAGACATTTTTGATCTTAACTATTCAGCCGATTTATTTCTAATAAAGGATGAGACAAAGGGCATACCCATAGGGAAAACAGTATGTTTAAAACCAAAGATGTACTTAGTCCTTCCAGCGAGGCATGATCCTAAAACTTCCGATGACCCAGATTCTGAAGACCCTAAAAAGAAGCACAGTATCTAAAAGGCAAAGGGTGTAAAGAAAAGTGTGGTCAAAAGAGAGCTTCAACATGATAAATTTCTAGAATGTCTTAGGAATAAGAAACTAACTCGGCATAATATGTATGGTCTTCGCAGTTATGATCATCAAATATATCTGAAAAGGGTGAATAAGATAGAGTTAAATCCATATGATAACAAACGCTGGATCTTACTTGATGGAATTTGAACTCTTCCTTATGGACATTGGCGAATTGGATTATATAAACACCTGATAGCATCTGAAATATCTCCTAAGCAAGCAGAAGAAAGAGCTATAAAAGCTAAACTTCGTGTCAAGGTATAGATACTTTATAACAAATATTTTTTCAAGTAAAAAAATTCTAAAGAATATATTTTCATTAATTAAAGTTTTTTTATTGCTATAGTAAAAATATATAAAATGGTTGATCATAAGGATATAGAACTTGCACAAGTCAAAGTCATAAAAACTGCATTGCGAAAGGGCAGAAAATATGATAATCTTGCGAAAAATTATGGAGGCTATCTAAAGAAATTGCGAGCTGAAAAGAATCCGAATGATTATATTAAGACAATTGCAGTCAAGATGTTTTCTAATGAAGAGGCATACACTCTAAGGCTAGAAAATTATCGCAAAAGATATGCAGATAATGATCTGTATGCCAGTCTAGAGGAATTATATAAGCTTTATTATCAAATAGCTAAAAAGGAGAATCACGAAAGGTCAGATGATGAAATAGAGCAGATGCTCAAAGCAATGGCAATCTAGAATAAACAAATACGGTAGACCATTTCCTGCAGATCATTAGAGGGTCCTTTATGGACTGGGATCAAGAGAGTAGCTGTCCACCATTTTTCTAATGCTATTCTTGAGAGTGGCAAAGCCACGAGTCTCTGACTCATCACAATTGAGAGATATACTTTTATATTAATATTTTTTTCTTATAATTGGCGGTGTCGAAGTGAAATAAAAACCTATAAAGTGTATACACCTTTTTTTCACTAATCATTTACGATTGCCAGTAGATCGATCGGTTCTTGGTTCATACTAAATAATTTATGAATGAATTGATCACTGAATCTGAAATTAGTTTTTAAAAAATCTGCAAATTAGATTTGTTAGTCATGAGAAATAAACTATATAAAAAAGCTAAGTATAAGTAATTTCGTTGTTAAAACTTATCTGATATCTAATTATTATTATGTCTCTTACTAATCTCCAAAACTTCGCTTTTAATATTTTAAAAGAAACAAAACATAACATAGTACAAGATATCGTTGTTACAGAATTGCTACCATGTAAACTATGTGAAAACAAAATATTATCTGTTAATTTCGAATCATTTACAATACTTTCATGTAGACATATATATCATAGAAAATGTATAGAAAAAAAATTTTTACTTACAACAGAAAACAAATGCCCTTTATCTGATTGT